CTTTCGGTATCTATGAATGGATAGTCATGCCGTTCGGTTTATGTAATGCACCAGCAACTTTTCAAGCCATTGTAGAAGAAGTGCTAGGTGAATTACGAGAATTCTTGGCTGGGCTTCTAGATGATATTGCCATATGGGGAGATACTTTATCGGAACTCACCGAGCGGGTGCATAAGGTTCTCAAACAACTCAGCGATTACAGTTTGGTCCTCAATATCCCCAAATGCCGGTGGTTTGTACCAAAAGGTACGTTTCTCGGATTCATTATTTCAAAAGATGGCATCCAGGCTGACCCAGTAAAAGTATCTGCAATCCGAGACCGCCCAATCCCAACTACATCAACTGAAATCAGAGGTTTTATTCAAGCTGCTAGCTACCTTTGTAGACTCATAGAACACTTCTCTGCGAAAGCTGGCCCGCTGTATGAACTAATTGGTGGCCCAAAGAATCAAAAGTTTATTTTGAATGACAAGCAGCTAGCTTCATTTAATCTACTCAGAGACTGTATTACTACAACTCCTGTCATTGTCAAGTTTCACTATAATTTAAGTTGCATACTGGAGACTGATGCATTGCAGACAGATGTAGGTGCAGCACTATATTAGCTTAAGCTTACTGCAAACGGAAAGTCAGTCTTACATCCAGTGGCCTACTTTTCGAAGCGATTAACTACTACTCAGTAACAATACGGAGCACAAGATAGAGAACTCTTAGCTATTGTCCTTGCTTTGCAGCACTGGAGATACTAGCTAGAGGACGGAGATGTTACTGTTCTCACTGATCATGAGTCATTAAAGCTCTTTCGTACAAAAACTGAACAGCCCCCGCGTATCATTTGATTTATAGATGTCATTGAAAATTTCGGAGCTCATATCAACGTACGAAAAGGTCCTACAAATATTATGGCAGATTGGTTGTCAAGACCCCCAACAACAACAAATGAACTCACAGATGCTGGAAACGAATTTCAATCTTCCCTGGACACAGCAAAGCCCGTCAAAAACGTTGATCATCTGAATCGTGTTGATCTCCAAGGTATATTTGAATACTTTATTCTGAAAAGTAAACTGCCTCATAGTTTATCAGAAGAATGGATAAAGAGCAATTTTATAGTCCATAATGATACTTTGTATTATCTGCGTAAACTTCCAGATAAAGTTGGTTCACAACTAATGCTCAAGGTACCTGAGATCGAAGACCTTATCATTGAAGCAAGGAAAACTCACGAGCAGCTTGGACATACATCAATTGGAATGACAATACGAGAATTGAGCGAAGTTTACTGGCATCCGGAGCTTATCCTTGCGGCCCATGAAGCTACACGCACCTGCAAACACTGCCAATTAATGAAGCCTCCAGATAAGACCTTACCAAACCTCATACCAATTACTCCGGCTATACCATGCTCCTGAACGCAATTGAATACTCAACAGGCTGGCTAGTCAGCATGTGGACAAAGGGACTTAAGTTTGAAGATACAATCCCCCTTTTTACGTTTGTCAAGAATCGATTCTGCGCGCCTATGGAGATAATATCTGATAATGCTGGAGCATTTCAAAGCACAGAAGCAGTGGCATGGCATAAATCTAACGGCACAAAGATTCACTCAATCACGCCTAATCGAACACGAGGTAATGGCAAGATTGAACAGGCTAATGGGAAAATAAAATCGATAATAATCAAGCTAGCAATGGATCAACCAGGCAGACCGATTCAAGAATACCTAGACAAATCTGTATATCTCTACAACCGACTGAAGTCTCCCAATGGTTATTCTCCTTACTATCTAACCTACGGCACTTTACCCAGAGACGATCCTACTAGACCTTACCATTCCCCTTATCAGCGAGAACCTACACCATAGGAGGAATCACAATGGACAGAAGAATTAGTACAGTCGCATGCAGCACCTATGGCTAGGTCGTACGCGTCCTCCTTGAAGGCAGCAAGAGATGAAACAATGGCATATCTACAAGAGAAAAAGGCTTTGATTCGTACATATGGTACTGGTGATTGGGTACTGTGAGTTCGGCAACGTGGTAATAAAACAGAGCAATATTATGACGGTCCTTGGTGTGTATCAGCGTGTCGCCATAGGAATACTTATATATTAAGATCTCCCGGCGGCATCGAGCTAAAGAACACCTACAATGGCGATAGCTTGTTCCCAGCATATACAAAAGATGGCCATCCCGTCCGAAGCTTATGGTATGCTTCGCCTCGAGAACTGAATAGAGATTGACAGCGACTAGTAGATGCAGTTGGAGGACTCGAAGCCTAACAATGAAAGTAACACATAATATGTTCTGTGATACCCTGGCGATTTGTTTTGTGGTGTTAAAGGTGGAGATTGATATCTAAAGCGATTCTCAGGTTTTACTTAATTTTCTTGTTTGTCTTATTCATCGACCTCACATATCTAGATTGTTTATTATTATGTTATAAATGATGGCTAGAGGACTAGCATCTGGAGAGGGAGGCTGATGTGGGTCCCGTGTCCCGTGACTTAGAGTCGCCCACATTCTTGGACATAACACTTGTAGCTAGAGGAAGGAAGGAGAGGAAACAATATACTTCATTAAAAGTCTTACTTCTAGTAAAAATTGTAAGCAGTCGTTATACGACTCATTTTATATTAAATACGAGACTTGAAGCCACATCAGGAGCTCTTGGAGGATTCGCTAAGCGAGAAGGGAGAACAGGTGGCCTAGTGACCCAGCACGAGGCCATGTATTGTACAATGGCGACAGATGATATTGCCAGATTTGAAGTTGTTTCGGCGACGCGTCGCTCTTCGGCCACGAGAATTGGTAGAAGCTCTGGAGGGTAGTCTGCTTTTGTGGCAGCTTTAGGCAGTAACTCTATAGCTGAAGTTGCTTTTGGTACAGCTTTCTCTTACGTTTTTGACACGGTTAAAGGTGAATTAGAGGGTCCTTCAATCCGGTGGGGAATGGAAGCCGGTTGAGGAATTTTCGGAATTTTATAATTTCTTGAATTGTTTGTTTGTTTAATTTTTATATTAACGCAATAGACAACTGGCGCCGTCCGCACGCCTATAGAAGCTTGAGCACCAGTGGAGCCGGGCTAGATCAAGTTATCCAGCATATAATTACACAACCCTCGTCCCACCTTAATGACCAGACTACTTCAAACCTCAACCATGAGTTGAAAATGTCAAGTCCAACCGCTCAGAGAATCCGATTTTGACGCGCTGGAGCGCAATTTCCCCCTGAGACTAGGCCACAATGCACTCGAGCCCTTGAAACCCTCATAATCTCTAATTTTGCCTTTCCGTTCAGTCGTAGTCATTCTTCGTCCAAGGATCTCATCGTCTCACCTAGGGGTCATTCTCTTCATTGGAGACATCATCAAGTTGCCCAACGAGGGCCTCCTCATTTTTTCCTTACTTCTATTCCTTAATTGTAGCTTTCCTTAACCCCTATGTCGACTTCGCCATCTTAGAAACTTTGTAAACATTCCACTCCTCCACCCTCCAGCCTTGCCCATCGGTGCCGTACTCCAAACCGTATAGGTCGAATATAGGACGAAGAGTTCAAGACCGAGGTACCGATTCCTTAGCCTATCGAATGCTCTAATAGATGTGCCGGCGAAATATCGTTTGTATCTTGTCAGTGGGGGTTCATCACAGGTCGAGTTGCAGGTACCCTTGGCCAAGGGTTGACAAGTATATGCCGGTACTTCGACCGAATCTTTAAAGCGCACAACGGTTGCGACGGGATGAATGTCCAAATGCATCTTTGATTGCGAGTATGACTTTTAGATTCTAGAGTGCTTTGGTAGGTGGTGAGATGATTGTGTGAAGGGTCGTGGGATGAGTTTGGATGTAAATGACCATTCTGGAAAATTTGAGAAAGTGAGAATAATTAGATAGGTTTAAATCTGTCTAAAGTTCGTTTCTGTGGTGTTTCGGTAGTCCCGAGTAATAAATTTCGGTAGGATCTGCTCTTGTTCAAATGTATCTTCCACTTTGTAGTTGTTCTGAAAGATTAGACTAGTATGTTACAAACAGAATATTTAAATCCAAGTGCGAAGCCAATGCGATGTCATCCAGTCCCATACAATCAACCAGGCACCTATCAACTACAATAGACTTACAATTATTAAATAAACACAAATGTACTTGAGAAACTCATGTAGTGATATACCGACAGGGTGTAGGTGTTTGGTTTCGTCGGTCTGTGCAGTCTTGAAATCTCTGTAGGTCGAATTTTCGACCAAAATTTTGCTACAACCACTCCTCCTAATCGCCATCTGGATGGAAACTCCCGAATGCACCCTTTGTCGTAACTTCATCTCGGCTCTGGGAGAATAGTTCACTACTAGGTTGGTAGAGTATACCACTGACAGGTTTTCAGCCTTCGTCCTCCACAAGTTTATTGGTTAGGCGAGGTAGTATAAAGTTTCATTGATGTACTCATAGTAAAAAGACGCAGATTTATTCTTATACTTTCTGTTTATATCTCTATAGCATAGTATCGTACGAATCCATTCACTGTCACCAACCAAATAAAGTCACCCGCTCCTCAACACTACGCAGCATGATTTCCGCATAGCTCATAGCCACAACAGACAAAAATGGATCTGCGTATCGAGACGAGAATTTGGTGTCTAGTTTTTGACTAGGTTGGATTAGATCCTAGAACGTTAGACACAAGTTAATTCAAATAACACAAGAAAAATCATACCACATCGAGTCGAACTGTTTATGCGGCCCTGGGAGGTGTTAGTTAAAGGTACTCCTGACACGTTTAGCTATAGAGGCATCTGGCTAATTTTTGCAAAGGTGTACTAAATAGATGTTTGTAGCTCTCGATTATTTGACATTATTACTTGTCTGAAAGTTTGCACGACTTCGATTCAGAAGATAATCAAAGTAATTAAATTAATAATATATTAGCATAGATGACTTGATTGTACAATAAAAACATGGACATCAGCCCCCCCGCTTAACACAACTAAACGCCGATTTCTATTACGTGCTAAGCTTTCATCAGGTTAACAAAAACTGTAATTTTCTCCATGTCAATTTCACTAGGACCGTTCGAACACTTTGGAGTCGCTGCGACTAGCTCTATTTCAATTCTATTAACGCCTGGATGAAGACGTGCTTCAAAAAGAGGGAACCTTGGTTCAACGGCATGGCCAGGAACGGTAGGCATAGCGTGCAGCCTTGTAGTACCTGCAGTTACAAAAAGCTTATACTGACGCTGCATCATGAATCCTGCAATGCATGGTTTGATCTGGAGATAATAGTGGGTAGTGGGCAAATTTATGACGACCGATTGCTGAGACATAGATGCTGAAGGAGGTAGATCTAAATGAAAATGACGAGAGATGTTAAGACCAGGATGGGTAGCTATGCTCAAGTTTGTAAACATAGCATTGGCAGCATCTGTGATGATTAGTAAGAATCAGAAACTGTGGGATATGATTTACCTTTTCTAGTCCTTCTTAACTTGGAGTCCAGCAAGGCAGGAGTCGGTGACTTATTATTTAGTGGAAGAGCATTTGGTTTCGTAGACTGGATTGTTGGAATTGACGGAATAAGCGGCTGTATTTTCACAGGTATCGGCGTGCTCAAAGCCTGATCTTGTGGTAGAGTTTGGAGATTACGGCTGTTTTCTTCATTTTTAACCAGCGTTAAGGCAGGTGTTTGTGTGGGGCAAGAAGTAGAGGTAGGTATATTCTGACCTGGTTTGGGCTGACCTGTTTGAGAGGAAGATGTTCCAGTTTCATGTACACTACGGGGAGAGGAGGGTTTTAGGCTTGCTTGACTAATCGGGAGTTGTGGTGGGAGCCGGGTTATAGTTGCTTCGACAGGGCTAGTTCTTCGGCCTAACTTTAATGTAATTTTGGTGGGTTCGTGCATTCGAAGCTTTATTTTGGTACTAACAGGCTCAGGCACTACTGCCTTGGCTTTATTGAGTAGCTTGTTAAAGTATGATTGCATCTCCCTAGCAAGCTTAAAAATCTCACTGTTATCTTCATTGTAAAGAAATGCGTTCTTCCATATATACGATGTTTCCCCTTCAAAGGCCGACCATGTCTTAAATTCAGAGGTGCCGGGTGTCTTTAGCCTGATACCTCTGACAGCTCTCTGGAGATCTTTCAATGCTACAGGATGTGTTATAATGTTGTAGTAATCTTTATATTCCTTCCGTGACGGCAAAGTGATGAATGGCTCAAATGTAACAGGGTCATCTCTGCTCCGAGTTAGCAAAATTAGGATGAAATAAAGATATCTTACATCTCGGATCCCCTCTTAGAAATTATGTCATCTATAATTCTTTCTTGAGCTTGTTGAAATGTTAGACCTTCAAACATGGACCCAGAAGATCGGGGCCTGGTCAAGGTCAAAGTGTTGTGTCTCGCTGGTTGTAAATTTTTTATGGGTCGGTGTGACTTTTTGTTAGATTTTTCGTCTAGTTCTTGTCCCTCTCGTAGGTTTGGATTGATCTCACAGTTTTCTCCGGGAACGGGCGGAACAAGCGCAGCTGGGATAGGTACTTGTTTGTACACTGGATTGTACACTGGATTGTGTTTGTTCATGTAATTACTGACAGTCTTCCTTAGCCGTTCAGAATCCTCGTGTATTATCGAGCCCTTTTCATTGTATTCTTTTGCATTGAGAACCATGCGCTTGAAGTAATTTTCGAGACTTGACAGAGTTTTAAAGTCACGACTTTTTAGTTTGGATTCGATAGTGTCTAACGCTATAGGTATTTTAGTTACGTCGTAGTAATCTGGAAATAATTTCCGGCTAGGAAGTGTGAGGAAGTCGGTTGCGACAAGACGACCACTAAATGGTTTTATCAGTAATTGGAATCCGACCAAATTAGCTGATATTAAATTTAATATTAAAGGATATCTCGCATAAATTGATATTAGAATAGCTGCAATTCACGGCGAAAAGTAATTTACTAGGAGACCCAATGAACAGGTATAACATACTTTTTATCTGTTGTTCTTTTTAGTATATCAAGAAGTTCGAAGCCATGTTGAGTAGTCGATTCGACTGTCTCACTGGTAGATAAGTCTGTGTTGTCGTGCTATTTAAGTTGTCAGCCTTGCTGCTTTGTTTAGTTGAGGTATTGAGTGATGCGTCACGATCAAAACCATCGGCAGAACGCAGCGAGCGCCCGGCGGTCACACTCCCGGATCTAGTTCACCGCATCATTTACTGGCCCTTGATCTGAAAAGCTAAGGAAGTCACCTACAATTGGTAGCTTTCTTCTTTTGGCGCCACGCTCATCCAACTCCAGCCCAGTACTTCCCTCATCGATAGCCCTTTTACACATCATACCCTATTTTGATTGACCATCAACCGAACTCCAGGTTCGATTTTAAATAGTACAGTGATAAGTAGTTGGCGCTGCGGTTTTCAGCTGCAGCGGGCGCGGACCGACGCGGTTGAACGCTCGACCTGGTTGAGATTTGGGAATTCTTGCAATAATACTGTTCCGAAAAATAGCAGGAACTGACGGTAAAAGTTGTTTGATCTCCCCCAATGGTGAAGAGAGAAAATCCAGATTTACGACCACAACCTCTTAGACAGGACAACAGCGACGAAATGTCCGAATATATTACCGTTTGTTTTAGTGTTAACAGCAGAAACTAAATCCTCGGCTAGTCACGTTATGATCACATGATTAATTACCAAAATCTGGCTAGTCCTAAGAAGCCTAGTTTGATATCGCGTTGGTTGACATGGGCTTTATTTTCTTTTATCCTGCCACTAGCAACCCAGTAGAGAGCGCCGGACCCAAATATTGAGCTTAAATACACAAACCTCGCAGCTATCAATGTTTGACTTTTGGTCAACTGACAGATCATAACCTTGTCAACAGATCAAATAAAAATTTGGGTATTTACTCTTGTGTTCGTCAACTCACCATTTGACACGAAATAACCATCAATAAGCCTATACGTGTTGTACTGTGCACATACTAGCGACCAAGTTTCTGTTAAATATCCATCTTATCCTGTAGGGAGCTCCACATAATCTAAACACACCCGGGAATAACGGTACATCGGCCTGGCCCAACATATACGGCGCTCGTGAAAGGGATTCGTTTGGTTTAGTGCACCTAACGACTTACATCAGCTTACCGGCTTCAAAAGATGGCAACATGGCCTATGGCACAGCAATTGGCAGTGCCTGATCCGGATTACCACAGACGTAATAAGACTCCAAGACCTGTTTCGGAATCCGAAAAAGCGCGATTGAAAGAATTTATCGACTTAATTCATTATTCCTCCAGGTAGTCCAACTCTTCTCAAGCGGGTGCTCTGTCCGTGTCTTCTAATTATTTCGGGTGGCTAATTATAAAGCAGGTATTCAGACAATGAATACGAGTATAGACATGTTCTCCTACCAAAGAATATGCTAAAGCAAATACCGAAAGAGTATCATGACTCGCAGAAAGGCACACTTAAGCTTCTTTGGGAACAGGAGTGGAGGGCGTTGGGAATTACTCAGGTGAGTAGCATGTGTACAACCATTAGATGATGAATTGTTTACAATGTCATCAGAGTCTTGGATGGGAACACTATGAAGTTCACGAGCCCGAGCCACACATACTTCTTTTCAAGTAGGTCCGAAACATAATTTACGAGCATAGGAAGCTAAACGAGTTTTCAGGAGGCCAATCAATTATGTTCCACCTGATCAATAGATGCAGGGTCACCATGCACTAAATATTTTATGGGTAGACAATTTCTTGGGAGGCGAATGCCTTCGAATCACGATATTTTCTATAGCCATGTTAAGTTTCATCTCCCTGACACATTAGACTCTGTGGCTACAGAATGATTGCTTCAAAATACGAAATCAGGATTAGCGTAGTATCCTAACATGGTCGCGCTTCTGAAGGGTAGGGCACGACAGATGAATGTATGATCGTTTTGTAGGGCTACTACAGAGATTATGAAGGCGCAGTGTAAAATTTTATGCGATTTTGCGTCTCGCAAGAAGGATGCAGGATGTCGGAGAGGAGTTACTTGAGGTCTAGTATAATTGACGCTACACCCTTGAATCTATAGTTCAGATGAAACTAATCTGCCTCAAACAACCGCGGGTAAATTACAATTTAATACATCGGTTGTAACTTATGTATCTAAGATAGCGCAAGATTTTTGAGGATTGGGCCAGTTGCCAAGACTACTTAACCTGGCGGGGGTTTTTAAGGACAAGTAATGCTATTGAAGGCCTAAGTGAAATAGGCAATACTCCTTAACAAAATTCTTCTTGATAACCTGACTTACACCCTTAGCTGTGAGCTTGCGAAACCTGGAGAGAGTCCAAAAATTTCGTGCAAACTATTCCACAATACAGCTCATTTTCTTCTTCTCATCGGCAGAATTATTTGAGTGACCGACCCTATCCAAGGCAAAGTTAAGCCAGGCCAATTATCCCTCGTATTCAATGAAGGTCGCCTCTCCCTTGAAAAATCTCGCACTACTGTCACTTATAACGATATCAAGTTGCGAAAAATACCGTGCCGCTTCAAAACTTTACACCCAAGGGCCCGATGACTGTGCAGTGCGTCAATTGTTGCAGAACTTACCATGCCGAGGCTAATTTCCGTCGTGCTAGATATCTCCGAGAGCTATAGTATCTGATGCCTGTGCCTCTTACACTACACTAGATAATCTTAATGACCGGCTCCGAAGTATTGTTGTCGATATAACCAGCAACACAGACTTTTTTTCTCATTACCGCTTGGTTCTATTCGGGAAAGAATGCCCATTTTGGAGTGACGACGATGCTATGTGTGGCAATGCTGCGTGCGCTGTCAGCACCCTGAACGACGAATCTCAGATCCCAATGATTTGGAGAGCAGAGGAACTAGGAAAGCTTGAAGGCCCTCGAGTAGTACATCCCGGGAGCCAATTGAAGGACAGAAAAAAGGTGCTAAATCCACTAGGTGGTATTCTCGGGACCCATGTAAGGGAGAGCTGCGTGATTGAAGATGATGAGGAATATAATGATCGAGACTATTGTATTCGAGAAGATGAGACCTGTGGTATCAAGGGAGATTATGTGAGTCTCGTTGACAATCCTGAAAGATTTACTGGGTATTCTGGTGATGGAGCCAGGCAAATATGGGACTCCATCTACCGTGAGAACTGCTTCTCGAAGTCATCATTTCCCAGGTCGAACTCTCTAGGATACTCATCCTTCACAAAACAGCCAGCGAAAAATATATTTAATTCCATTCCTCGGAAATCTGGAAGAAAAGAAAATAAGCACCTAGGATCCACCCGCTTTTCAATGGAAAGCGTTTTTGAATATGATAATGAGTGCTTAGAAAAACGTGTTTTTTACAGGATAATTTCTGGTATGCACACGTCCATAACTTCACATATTTGCTCCGAATATCTGAATCAGACCAGTGGGGAATGGGGTGCAAATCCTCAATGCTATAAGGAGAGATTGCGTGATCACCCCGACAGAATCTCCAATCTTTACTTTAATTATGCCCTGGTACTACGAGCTATAACAAAGCTAGGACCTAGCCTCAAGAATTATGTTTTCTGCTCGGCCGACGCTTCACAAAATCTACTCACCAAAACCAAGCTCCAATCTCTCATGAATGTAGTATCTACCACGCCTCAAATCTTTGATGAAAGTCTAATGTTTGTCAATGGGGAAGGTCCAAGTTTGAAGCAGGATTTCCGACACCGCTTCCGGAATATTAGCCGCATTATGGACTGCGTGGGATGTGATAAATGTCGGCTATGGGGAAAATTGCAGATTGCTGGCTATGGAACAGCTTTAAAAGTATTATTTGAGACTGATAATAACTCGAATGATGTTCCGCAGTTAAAAAGAACAGAGATAGTGGCACTCTTTAACACCCTAGCTCGAATATCAACTTCTCTTGAGGCAATCAAAAATTTTAAGCTTGCAGTTGAAGGAAGAGAATCGGAACTAGCAAAAGAGAAACAGGATATTATATTGTCTCAGCCAAGAAGGAAGCTATATTATGATAAACTTGAAATTTTAGATCCTACTATTGATGGCTCTGATGAAGAAGATAAAAGTGACCATCTTCAGAGGCGTCGATTGCCTAATAACGCGACAATATTTGAGCAACTTACGGTAGAGCTTGATATCTTCTGGAGAGTTATGAAATATGTTATTCAAAGTTGGTTTAGATTTCCAGGAAAATTGTAAGTTCTGAATCTAGATTCCCACCGTACAACATTTAATTTTATGTATTCTATACTAACAGATAGAATTAGGTGGCAAATCTTGAAAATGGAAGTACCAAGGGCCTGGGATAGCTACATTGGACTACCCGTGAAACCAAGGAAATGGTTATTCAAAAAACCCATTTTGGATGAGCTCTAGGTCATGGAGAGAACGAGGAGTTCCGGATATCCATCTTTAGCGTAAGGCGTTTTCAGGTATAACTACATTTGTTCATAAGCTTATGTTCTGTACATACTGGATAATATTTAGAAAATAACAATTTTTCATTCACCGCTACAATCGACATGAGATCTATGTGATAGCCTGAAGTTTTTTATGGTCTTCGCAAGCCACCAAATCCTCAGAAATGAGGTCAATAATATTGGTCAAAACAATACGAAGGAGCAAAACCTGATCCATGCTTTGTAGGAATCACCTAATATTTATAAATTTGTCTCCTATTGCTTGAAAACGGATGCATCCCTTAAGTACTGGATTGCGTTGTTTACTAAAATGCTAAGAAATTGGTAACATAGACATTCCTAGTGAAACTTAGATCAGATTTGTTATTTTTGTTATCCTTTCTTAGTCTAAGGCTATATAAGGATCAGATTAACTACCTCTAAGTACATGGTGATACTAGTCTAACCTTGGTATGTAGAACCATGCGAAGGCGAACATTTTTGTTGAATATTAACAGATCCAGGAACCTAGAAGAAACGAAAATAACTATTCTACCATAGGCATTATTTTTGTAACAGATTTTATTTGCGTTCACAGTTATTTAGCTATGACACAATATAAGTCAAATTTACTGACTAGATTTCTCAATATAAAAAATGGCATTCATGCCTCGGATTTTATTTGCAAATATCACTGCGAAGTTATGGTGACTTTTCCTTCACCCCAAGTCAACCCTCATCCGTGAATACCCACCCAGGAGAACGTCTAAAAACCCTGAGTTATCCAGACATGTCTCAATCATCTTTCCACTTTCCTCCGCGCGAATTATGGTCAAAGATGTCTCCTTCCCAAGTGGAGTAGATGCCCAGACTACTCAAACCATACCAGAGAACACCACCAGGAGGCGGACCCCGGTACCTTCTATCGTCTGCTTATTTTTAAAGTGTCAGCTGCACTCTCGCAAGCGAAGTCTTGGCGCGCACAAAGCTCAATTCGTAAAACTCTTGCCAAAATTCTGAATTTCACGCCTGCCGATGTTAAGTCCTTCCTTTGCATCATCTTGTTAACTTGTCCTAATCCCTCTCACGACCATTCCAAAGAGCTATCTCCCAGATTTGTGCGCCACGCAATGCTTCTTCTATCGGGTATAAATATCGGCGCGGGCGTGTATTTAGTGACTAGCTGAGGCCAGAGAAAGTCGGCGAGAGGTTTGGTCATTGGGATAAGAATGCAATAGGTCGTATTTGCAGACTTGATGAGACTTATGCAGGAGTGGATCTCGCTGGGAGTGGAAACCTAATGTGGTGGTGTATTTTGAATTATTGCCTCGGGCCAACTTGTTCGATATTGCGAATTTTGACTGAACTTGGCTTTGAGAGAATTTTTCACTCTCAGGTGTTCAGTCCTGCCCTCCTGATGTTAGTTATCGTGGTGTTTTCCTGTGCTAAACATATTCCATGCATCTATACCCCTGAAGTGTGTGACTGCTAAACATTCATTGATGTAAGAGTTTAACATACATGTATCAGACGGAGCTTGACACACTTTGAATCACAGATCTTCGGCTTATATACCAAGGAAGTACTGAGTGGTTATGCTGAGCTGGAATGACGTACCGTTGTCACGGTTTCGAGGGACAAGTGCTGGGGCAACTATATGGTCGATGGTAGTAAATAATAATTCTAAGGAGAGAACTGTCATGAATGCGCTTTTCACATTAGTAGTAAATCGTCATCCACGTAGTATAGCACGCAGAGCCAGGGAAATGGAAACAGGTTAGTGATAAATTAAATAACACCGATCGCTACATTCACCCGTAGATCACTCCTAAAAGAGACTAGCTACGGCGCTATCTGGAAGTATGTGGGATTGGTTATTTATCATGAACATAACCTGTAACATAACATAACATAACATAATAACACAATAAGATACCATTTGCATCCCGTAATATTTTATTGCCATAATCACCCAAGTATATTCTAAGCCCCCTGAGTAGTCTTAACCATTTAATTGAAGATACCAAGTGTATACAACCATATACATCACCACCCTTCAATAAGAACTTCCACTACATCTATCTATTCATTTATATACGTGAAAGCCTCCTCGCCACCAAGGCTAATTCCTCTCCTCTCCCTATGCTACGGGGCTCCCCTAGTGTTCTGACTACGCCTGTAATACAGCACTATCGCGTTATGGTCCGGAGGGATTGTACTCGGTCTCGTATATTCCCAGTCAGTGTAAGCCTATCAACATGTGGTGCAGTGCCGTACTGCCGTGCCGCACTGCCGAGTCCGATGCCATGTGAATACCATGCAAATGCCGACGCAAAAGTATTGTATTGGGTGGCGTCGCATATTAGCGCATTGGTAGCCATTAATAACGCCACTCGAATCAGGCCTAAGTTAACCAACATAGGCTACAGGGACCAATCGGCTTACCAGCCGTTACAACCGTTAGGATGAAGGTATGGAAGGAGGTAGCTATGGCTTTAAGAGAAGTAAAGTTCGTGAGTTATGCTCTTAGGACTTGGATCAATGGATGAACTTGAGGATAATCCCTATTGTTCTCAAGTGTGTGAATAATATGGAGATTGTTTGAATTTCCTATTGTATGGATTGCTTAAGTTATCTACGTGACAGGACCTTCTTCTATATACATGAATGAGGGGGTTCTGCACACTAGTGGATGTTCCAACATCTGTCCTTGTCAAACCGAGAGAAGAAGGATGTGAGAGATCCTAGCGCCTATAGATACCATTAAGGATCTATAAGGAAATACTATGTCATACCAATGAGTGATGATCTAGGTCTGTCATATCCCATGGCGCATGTTAACATTATTCTAATGTGAACAGTATATTGTTATGCGGTCATGTTACTCCCTTAATTACAACAGGAAGATCAATAGCCTGATATGTATCCGAGCATCTCTGCATATTCCTGGCCCGGGTCTAATCCGAACATAATTAGATGTAGATTAACACCTAACACTCTCATCAATAAGTTCAATAAACAAAAACCTCCATGCACATAATCATTTATCTCTGATCCTTATATCTCCAACATCTTACGATCCATACAGTATTGACTAGACGGGGATCCTTCACTTCTTTCATTCCAGTTACCTCAAGAACTTTAATAGCCTTCAATATACCTGTACTTCCCTTTTTTCGGGATCCTCGGGTGGTGTTTATGGGACACACTTTCTATAGCAGTAACAATGACTGGTAGTTAACACGTATCTTGGAGTCTTGTCTTCCTAACTTAAACACGTAAATACAGTAGTTATCCCCCTCTTCTAACACAATTCCTAAATAGGTAACTTATTACTCATCAACATAGTTGATCTTCATATCTAAGATAATACATAAAGTGTTGGTCAGTAATATACACGTGTACGCGTACGCAATGGGTTTCGTGATGCTGTGATGATTCTTCTTGTTCTTCTTAGATACAGGAGTGTCAGCTATAAGGGCGACACGCTAAGCTGCACCAATCCACATGACTATCAACATATTGTGATCTCTCTCCTGGCTCAGGTACATCAAAAAATAGTGCTGCGACATATAGGGCATTAAGTCATTAGATCATTTGATACTTTTATTTGACTTGTCGTAATCTAACCAAAATCAGGATCCTCAGTTGAGTAAGAACAATCACCTTGTAGTGGTGTTTGCAGATGAAATACAGAGAACAAGTACCTCAGTCGTCAATCAAGTTATCCAATCTTTACACCAAGCACTGATTATGTGTCATAACTATGAAGCTTTTGAGCAGAATTACCTCTTTTTTGGGTTACATGTTAGTTAATTTATGATTATTTATTCTGGTGAATTAGGAAGGTGGTATTCACTTGAGTTATGTATCGGAGTTAGTGGAAAGCCGGGAAGGGAGAAGATATTGACCGGAGGCCGAGTCAGCTTTGGGAATTCCGATGAAAGAGATTTAAGGTCATCAGTTCCTAACATAGGGTCGGCATTGTCAAAGCATTCAAAAGTCAAATAGTCTTGACTAAGGACAAAGGGTAAGACCAGAGTTTGGGGGATGTGATGTATGTACATAGAGAAGAGACATAGCTTATGGGACACGCACAAGAACTTCTTTTCTCAAACAGGCTGACTGGGTCTATTTGATTGACAGAAGCTAAATACGCGTTGAGTGAAATCTGAAATAAAATCACCTTAATTTCACGCAAGTTCAATAAAATTTAAATTCCATGTTCATCATTCAATATTACTTGATGTGAAGAGAAATGATGCCTATTTTAAGGGCATACAGTTATTATCCTAAGTTTCCAACCTAGAGCTATTTAGAACTATTACCACCTGTTGGGCCGTCTCTAAAATCCTTTGCAGCAAGAAATAAGCTTTATTTTCGACGCGATTCGAAGATTTTGTTCTCGATTCTTCCAGCTAAAACATGGATAATTTGTCAGTGAGATCGAGTCAAAAGGATGGATCTTTCATGAAGCCAAAATCATATCTTACCTTTGATATCCTCGACAGTTTTGTCCAATGCCTTGATCATTCTGTCATATAAAGGTCCACAGTCTACAGGCGTTTCAATTTATCGGCCGTCATTATGAAACAAGATTTGTCGCAGTTTCTCGGCTAGTTCCTTGAGTCCTTTGAAACTGGTCGTGAATTTCTTGAGAATTTCTTGGTCGAAATGTTCGACACCATCTCTTTTTTTTATAAAGTTGTTTTCCAACTCGTTGGTGCACCAACGATCTAGATTCTTAGCCATGTCCGCAGATACGTCTTCATATTCTATGCATCCAACGATGAACACATAGAAAAATGACTTCAGATCATGACGAAAAGTGCGTCCAATGGACTTTCCTGTGTCAAGAGCGTGCTGCAATCTCTCAAGCGCCATGAACTTCATAGTGCCTGTCAGAGACCGATTATTTTCCAATGCCACATTTCCTTGCAATTTGACCGAATGATCTAGGTCAATCAACATCCCGTATAAGTCATCCTCTGGAGATGGCTTTAACAGGATTATATTTCCTTCAGACACGTCTCCATGAAGGATCTCTTTACCCACCAGTCCCTCGTGTCCTTTGATAGCATCTCGAATTCCGGCAACAAAATCAAGGATTGACCCACTGGAGTAAATTGCTCGGCCGTGTGGTGTCATGGCTATTCTGGTGAGCCGGAGATTTCTATTGAAGGGTGGTTTTGTTGGTTCCTTCTTGTAAGAGCCCGAGGAGGCAAAATTATTGGTGACATTTAATTTCCAAAGGGTAGCCTTGGAAAGATCTAGGTTTTCTAGGTGACTTTTTGTCTCATATATAACCTCTGTCGCAAGACAATTTACAACACCTCGTACTGATTTGGCAATATTCAGGAAGTCAACTTCCATATTTTCTTCCAAACTGCTCCACGAGTACTTGATCACTCTCAATTCGTCTTTTGTCTCAAAGCAAGTCGTGCCGCGAGTAATCAGTCTCTTTGGTTGTACCATGGGTTTAGATTTGATCTCAAAAGATAGGCCTGGAACCTCTTCACTTCCAGGGAAATGGACAAATTGTCTGCTCTATTTTGGATGATAGAAGTGTCACGTCCAAGTTCTTCATTGCTCATTAAAAGATACGAGGTTATTGCACGTATCAACATCTCCTTGTCATCAACTATTCTTTTTAAGCCAGACCCGTAGGCGCCTGATCGATCAAAAATCTAGAGCTTAAATTCCTCTGGGAACAGGCAGAAGCCATGTAGAAACCGACGCAATGGCTGAGCGTAAAATACCTCTCGAACAGACCTTGATAACTTCATAAAACTTTTTTTCCTTTTGTTTCCAATAGCTGATTTGTCGAACTCACCCAGCACATTAATGTTCTCCCAATTAGCGGGACCATCCTTAGGCAGGTCAATGCTTTTGACCAGGAAATCAATTTGTGTCTTGCCAGTTGATTGTCTTGTGCGTCCCGTAATTTTCATCCGACAACACTGTCCTTTTATCTGGAAGTAAGGCTCTTCAATGACTATAGGTCGATCTTTCGATAGTTCTGGTAAATGGCCTTTGAGCTGGTTTAAAAATGTTTCACTGAAGAAATTGAGCCAGTCCCATACCTCCCTTTCTTTCATGTGTACTCCCAGAATCTTCTCTTCTTTGGCTACATGCAGATTTTCCGTATCACGAGTGTAATCTGGATCTTTTGACTTCTTCAATTCCTTTGATCTTTCCTTCTTTTCAGCCTTCTCGTCCTTTTGGTAGCTTTCCCAAATGCGAGAGGTCTGTTCAGACCAACCCTTATTTTCGAAGATAACTTTCCAGAAATTACCAATATTATAGAATACGTTTGTGTCTAGATCAGCTTTCATAACATTTTCCAGTTGCAATGTTGTTCTATCATAATCTGGTGCTTCTGATTTATTTTTTGTAAATGTTGTTTGACTCTCTGACGGGACCAATGAAGTTTGGCCTTTCGATTCCTCTTTAATTGCAATGATGGCTAACGCTAAAATATACCGCACGTCCATATTTTCGAGAATAGCGGTAGCAAGATTTGCGAAATATAGGAATCCTGTTAAATGACAAGGTGTGTCTAGCTGCTACAGGGGCAATCCGAGTCAGGCAGAGTCAAACACATGAGTCGCGTGAATTACACTATTCATGCAGATCAGTCGCGTGGAGGAAAATTTGTACTTAGGAGTCTGGCTGTCTCGATCTTAGTATACTTTTAGTTAACTCGAATATCTGATTCTATCTGACCTCAATCCACTGTGCTAATTCCATCGTCTTCTATACAGTCATACTGCGATAGAAGTCCTCCCAATTAATAAATTCGTTTGTTTCTGCATGGATACGGGCCGAGGTCTGACGGAATAAAATATAAAGTTGATTCATGTTGTTATTACTTCTTTCGCGACGTATGTGCTGACTTAGATCGTAAGATTCAGAAAGTGCTATAAAGTTAGCATGACGCTTTGTAAATGGCCATGGAATGATTACCCGAAGGATAGCCTATTCTGTCAAATTGATCTCGGAAATTCTGGATAGTATGTGCAATGGAGTTCTAAGAAAGGTGATCAAGAATATCACTAAGTCGATACATGTTGCAATGTAAGGTTGTGAGTTGTTTGGTGTGGAAGAGCTGGATGATAGATTGTGACTGAAGGGTGAAATGTGAAATGTGAGGCTTAATTACGGCTTTGTAGGAATTGAGATCAAGTGAATCTTAACCCAGTTGGCACGTTCTTTTTGTAAGGGTGCAAATCAGAAGAATTCATCTTGGGCGCCTGGGAAGTATCCCCAGAGGATTTGCATGTTCTACATAGTCATTGACTCAGAAAGGACAATAAATGAATTTAAGAAAAAGACCATTAACGTTAATACCCCGCTTTGATAGAGAGGCGCGTGACAAAAATTATTGTAAAGTACTACGTCGAAATGGGGACTATTCTCAACACCTGTCAGTTGTGTCCCCTACGAACCTCCAGCTCTCACTGTAGAGTCTGCAGAGCCGAGATTGAGTAACAAAGTCCTCACTTCGATGAGGATTCCCAATCGTTTCGCGGTCTGTATTGTCTTTATCTCTCAACACATTCCCCTATCACCACTATCATGAAGCTGACCATAATCAGATCAGATGGTAGGGTCGGAGCCCTACTCATCACCAACCCTTGATCATGGAGGAAAAGCCATCCGATGAGTTTCCGGAGCGTACCCAGCACCCGATACGGAGATGGCGGATTGGATCAACTCGACCTCAACTGTTACAAAGAAGGGAGATAAAGATGAATATGCGCATCTCGTGAGGTCCCGGTGTCTAGGCCTCGCCTGGCTGGGGCTGCAGGTTTTTTGAGAATTTTTCCCGCGCAGGCAGTTTCCATTGCAACCATTTTTTTTGGGGGTAGAAGGTTCCGTGGAAATGGTGGCCGAATTCCATGTGTAAACACTGAGCTGAATGGCTATTCATTAAGGGGAATATATCAATGATCTTTCAAGTAACAAAAGAGGATAGGAACACTGTACAAGGTGTGGCCTGGGTCAGAGAGGAGGCGAATGTGCTAGATAGTCATAGACTTAAGTAGTACAACAAACACACACACTCACAATTTTTTGAAATTCGAATTTTCGAATATTCACCCTTTCCCCCTCTCCCTCCCTCTCGCGCTCGTCGCATCCCTTCAATAAATTGTAATCGAGTCACTGGCATTTTCGTCATGCCACCTTTTCGAAAAAAGCTCCCCAACTCAAGGTTGGACAACGCGAGAGTCCGCCCGAGGGCTCCTGCAAAAACACCTGGCCTCGCGCAAAAATTATCAAGCCTATTTGCGAGTGAGGCCTTTGTTCCAGGGAAGTCCACAAATCTTCCCGATCAAGAGATGACTGATTCTGAACCGATCAGAGCAGAAAACAATGGTCCCAAGACCAAAACCCCCGTCGAACTGCCCCCTTTGGCAAGCAGCTCCAGGAAAGGAAAGGAAGTTGTTCGAGAAAAGACAACCGAACGTGCAGAATCATCTGCAGGAAACAATGCTGTGCCAGCCTCTAAAGGCGCAGCATCGACATCAGAAATGGAGTTTCCACCAGAGCTGCAATCAGTGATGGAGGCCGAAAAGCGTCGCACGACGCAAATAAACGCCCGACTCGCAATCTGCTCGACTGCAATCAGCGGTGTCGAAGCAGCACTTTCGCCTCTTTCGATTGGCGATAATAAAGAATTTGTAGACGGAATCAAAGTCTATCTTCGAGCAGCCATCGGCCAGTTCGTACAATCAGGCCCAGGGAGCACACCACCAGCTCTCCCTGCTCGCCCCGCCAACCCTCTTCCGCCGAGGGCACCAGAAGTAAGGGTTCCTAACCCTCCAACAATCCAGGCTCCGGCCCCAAAGACAACTTGGGCCACCGTAGCTCGGGCAGGCCTAGTCAGTAGCGCTGGGCCATCGACAAAAAAGGCAGAACCACCCGCCCCCAAAGCAAAGAGTGCCAACTCGAGGACAAAAGCCGATTCACGACTTTTTCTGCGCCTTGACTACTTCCACCACCACCGTCTCCTCTCCCCAGCTTGAGTAAGGCTAGCGGTGTCTCAGGTGCTGGGAACCGCTGCTAACAATATCACGTTGGTTCAGCAGGTAAAGACCGGCTTTGCAATAACCGTAAAGGATGAACTCGCTCGAACAGAGCTCCTAGATTCCTGCACATCACGGAGCGAATCTGGAATCAAACTGGAACCAGCATCAAATCTGGTTGCCATGCAAATTGCCACCGTTCCGGAGATAATTCGAACTCTTGCTGGCCCAATTGCCGTGACAGCAAAGATGGTTGCCAACGAAGTCACGCAAGTGACCCAGTTGGTTCCCTTTCTGGTTTGTCCTCATGGGACTAGCAAACCAGGGGCGCCCTACTCAAATTGGCAAGCGCTATTTCCTCGAGAATCCGCTCCTAGACCTGGATTCCGCCTTTTCGACGACTCTGGAGCTGCAAAGCTCTTCCGACCTCGTCGCAAAATCGAACAATGCAAACAGTGTCTTGAATTTCACACCACCCGTGGTTGTTCCCGCGCTCCAGCTTTCTGGAATTGCGGATCTAATATGCACTCAGAATCAGAGTGCAAGGCCCTCACCCGGTGTCGAAACTGTGGGGGTCCTCACCGATCGGATTCCCGGGCCTGCTTAGCCAGACCCAGCAAGTGTCACGGACGAGGATGAAGACGAGGACGGAGACGAGGACGAAGACGAGGACGAAGACGGAGACGGAGATTAGGACGAGGACGAAGACGAGGACGAAGACGGAGACGGAGACGAAGACTAGGACTTAGGACAGAGGCGAGATTCTAAGATGTAGATAAAATACAAGACAAAAAGCTACAGTACAAATGCATCCCAAGAGCTTCCTTAAGTACCTGAGACCGGTCACTACAATCAAGGGTGCAATAGCCCACAGCTGTTACATAGCAACTGATCAGTATCTTGACTAGTGACTGTTGCTATCACAACACTGTAACCATCGCAACGCACTAACCCTATTCCTGAGTGTATTCATGGGGCGGTTGGCCAGGTGCAATACAACATCACAAACTGGTCTGTTACAGCAAGTCCGGACCGGTGACAAAAGAGCAGCTCGCGCGGATCCGCCAGATCCAGCAAGGGGAGTTCGCAAAAGTGGCTCGATTTAGGGCTGCAGCCAAAAGGGCCGAAGAGGCAACGATGGCCTCAACGAAGGATGTCTCAATGGCCGAGGGATCGGGTTTCGGAATCCTGGAATCCGAAGAAGAAGTTTGAGGGTACAGCAACCCTCTGCGAAGTCTACAAAAAGCTTCAAAGTATATGGCAGGATACCAGCTGAATTCAGGGTATCTGCGAACTAGTCTTTTGCTCTCAGCGGAGATAAGAAAAAGTCACCTGGAAGATGTGGCAGGAAAGGGAACGGGCGAGAAGCGCGGGATCCGGACCAAACAGTATTTCTTCCAAATTTGATTTCAGTTTTTGATTTATGGTTTTGATTTTAGTTTTGCTGTTAACTTCTACAATTTCAGTAGAAGTTCATGCAGTTGGAATGAGTTGGGCCTGTACGCAGTGATCCTTGCCGGCTCCACCGGTCCTTGACCCAATGTGGAAAAGATAGCGTTAGCTTAGGACCAAATGTAAAAAACAAAAAACAAAACAATTTTTTGAAATTCGAATATTCGAATATTCACCCTTTCCCCTTCTTCCCCACCCCCTCAATATCGTGATATCGTTTGCGCTCAATTCAAAATTTGTGAGCGACTGGTAGGTTGTCAAAATGCCCCCAGTTCGCAGTAAACCATTGCGGGCGAAAAACATCGCTGAAAACCGCAATTACATCAAACACACCGTTCGAAGAAAACTACGTGACAAGCTGGGTACCCTGACTCCAGGTCAAGAAATGGAAATTGACCAGTTGGTCGACGACAGAGCTCTAGATGACACGATGTTAGATGTAAGCAATGTTGACATTGATAAGATCCTCAGGGATTTGAAAAGACTTCCCGATTCTATTCACTCCAAGCCAGATGCAACCGGAGCTGAAAAGGCAACAATTTCTCAAAAAAAGCCAGCAACTGCGACTACACAGCAGCAGAAACTGCCTCTGATAAAAGTCGCCGTGTCATTGACAATGGCAGAGAAAACTGGCGACACCAGCAAGAACAACCTGAGTTGCTCTTCGATTGCCTCAGGTCCTATGGCAGCCTCAACAACTAGAGAAGCCCCTGAACCCAAACTGAAATCATCCAACGAAACTGACACTGCAGCTAGCGATGAATTCTGCCCCGAAGAGCTGAGAGCTGTAGTAGAAGCCGAAAAGCAAAGGGTCGCACAAAAGTCTGCTCAGATTCTGTTATGCACATCGGCCA